TATCGGTATCGGACATTTCTCAAAGTTGTAATATCGGTATCGTATCAGAAGTGAAAAAGTGGTATCGGGACATCCCTACCTAAGGCCACCAAAACGGATCCCCTCAACACCTCGGCTGCGCCTAGAAATTCTGTCCATGAAAGTAATGAACAGAATCGGTGACAAAGGGCAGCCTTGGYGGAGTCCAACTCTCACCGGAAACGAGCCCGACTTACTGCCGGCAATGCAGACCAGACTCTGACACGGGTTGTACAAGGACCTGACAGCCTGTGTTAAATGGCCCGGTACCCCATACTCCCGGAGAACCCCCCACAAGGCCCCCCTTGGGACACGGTCGAATGCCTTCTCCAAGTCCACAAAACATGTAGACAGGTTGGGCGAACTCCCATGTACCCTCCAGGACCCTGCTGAGGGTGCAGAGCTGGTCCAGTGTTCCACAACCAGGACGAAAACCACACTGCTCTTCCTGAATCCGAGGTTTGACTATCCGACAGACCCTCCTCTCCAGGACCCCTGAATATCTGAATGTGTTTATTTAATAAAAGTCTTTTATTTCTTGAGTTCCTTGCACCTGCCTACACACACAGATGGATTATTCTCAGCATGTTCAAAATTTAACAAAGGAAGGAGTAAGTTGGTTTGTGCTTACAAGTGCAGAAGAAAGAGTATTTTTTTCTAAGCAACCTAACTTTTGCTTTATGTATATATTTATTTAGGAAAAAAAATAAACAACATCTCCCTGAATCTTGAAATATCTGAAATCTAAAATGACGACGATGATTTAAAATCTCAACAAAACCCACAGCCCTGATAAACTGTTTGCAGGGACGAACACAGACTTTTATTTAAGGGGCGGCCAAAGATTTTTCAAGGGGGCTCATACAAATAAAGTAAACTATTCTCAAAATTGGTATCTAAGAAAATACTCTCTTGACAGTTTTCATAATTGCATTTCTCTATTTATTGCTCAGTGTCTTTCACTTACACACAAACATTTTTTATAACCTTGTCTTGTGAGGTTGTGAAAATATCTATTTATTGTTTTACATATTAAAATCACCAAAAGTCCGTTTGAAAAATTCTCTCATTCTAACTCAATTATTCTTTTTTCTTTTTCAAATAAAAGTTTGTTATACTCACTTTGATTAAGCGATAAAGGGTGACCATATCTCTGAGAGGTGGGGAGWAGTGAGGGATCACCATGTCTTGGAAGTAAGGGGGGTCTTTGAGGAAAACAGGTCGGGAACCACAGGTTTAAATTAATACATATCTTCATTACTACAAATCTAGTCAAATAAACACAAAAAAAGGAAAACTACCTTGTTATTTACAAGATTGTGAATTGACAATTATTTTCTTGTTTCTTTGAGATCTAACTGACTTTATTAAAGCGGTGAAGTGGGTTCATAATTGTAGATGTCTTAAGACCTGATTATCTCAYGACTTTAGTCTGATTACTGAAGCTGTTGGCACATTCAGAGTCTGACACACTTATCTTGCATACGTGTCCATATTATCACACTTTAATATTAGTCCAACAGAACATAAAGCTAACCYAGTTATTACGATTAGATAAAAGGAAAGATAAATCGTGTCTGCAGGAAACAAATAATCTATCTGACCTTAATTTAGGTCTAACARTATAGTTTGGGGAAATATTCAAATAGTCAGTAGTAGTTTTTTATTTAATTTATTTATTGTGGTTATTTTTTCTTTAAATTTCTCCTTAACTCTTTTAATTGTTGGTTAGTGTTGCTGAAAGCCAACAGGATCAAACTAGGGCAACACGGCAGTGCAGTAGTGATGTCACCTCTCAGCATATAGGTCACAAAATCGCCTCTGAACTCATTGCCTTTCGAGGCAGAATTTGCACATTCTTTCTGTGCATGCATGGGTTTTCTCTGGGTACTCTGGTTTCATCCCACAGATCAAAAACATGCATGTTAGGTTAGGTGAGAACTCCAAATCATCTGGATGAGAATGTGACTGGTTGCTCTTTTCTGTGTCCGTGATGGACTTGCAACCTGTCCAGGCACAATGACATGCTGAAAAAAGCTAGGAAACAGATAAAGAAAATTGATGGATAGGTCATAAATTATGATGCAAGAAAGATTTATCTTGGGCGGGAAAACTTGCRAGTTGGGTGCACACAGTACAGCTCAGGCCAGGTTCAGTTCAGTTCCTCTGGKTGAAGAACAAAAACTAATTTTGAGTCTTCAGCTGATAAGTAAACCCTGTTCAATGATTGCTGCAACTCTTTGTCCGCCTGTGCTTTGAGGAATCTAGAAAATAAAATAGCAATGATATAACAGCAACTGATGCATTAAGAAGAACAGAGTCCTGCTGCTTCAGCCGGGTTTAAGTTTGGGCAATGGAAGCCACGACTTCAGGGTAAAACCTGTTTCTGGTGGCTAGGACCACAACTCCATATAAAGTCTCCAGCACTAGATAAATATTTTATATTGTAATGCAAAAAACAGAACAGAGACATACATCAAACCCTTAGAAAGAAGAAAATAGAATATTAGATTTTTTTTTTGTAAAAGTGTGTGAATCTGAATCAGAGGCGGAGCTATAATTTTTATAGATGAGTCCAAACCGGGAYCACTGGACTTGCAGGGGTCACCCAGAAAATGTCTTTTATTTTCCCTGCATGGCAATTTGCAGAGGATCTAATCATGTTTCTCAGTCCTCCTCTCTTTTACTGGGTTGATGTGGCCAAATATTTTTTCTATGGCGTTCATCACTACCCCAGGTCACTCATGGCTCCACTCCTGGCCTTAACAAGTAAATAACAYGCCCACTTTCACAGAAATTTGTGACTATTTGTGATTTTGATGTACATATACATATATTTCTCTCGTTTTTTATATTTTTCTTTTTATTGTAAATTGTATATAAAATTATTTGTTTTGTTTTAATGAAATGAATAATGAATTGAAACTGAAACTGAAAAACTGAAGTAAAGCATAATGGCTTTAACATAATGTATATGAAATTATACTATTAGTCATTCTATTGAGGAAATTTTAGGAAGGCTAGGCTAATTAGCTACTCAAACCATTGTCCTGATTTGACATTTTTTGCAAAGCTAATGATGACATCGGATTTGTTTTTGTCATTATAGATCCATAGTTCCATTTTAAAGAACCTCGCTTTTAAAACATATATTTGTTGGAACTTGGAAGGGCAATATTGTCAAAAAAGGAGGGAGAAAAGTAGTTGAGAATCTAAATTACAAAAGAAATAAAGATAAACGAGATGGAGAATCCTGGATATAGAAAGAACTCCAATCATAAGAGGAGAAACATGTTAAGTTGTCAGTAAATTAGTTTATTAATTTTGTATTAAGGAGGAGATTGGGAATCAAATATTTAAAAACTGTAATGTTCAGTAATTCATGAAAGGGGAAAATGATTATTTTTTAAGAATAATCTACAATTCTGGACAAAATGGGGATAGATTTTATGTCACCATAAAAACTTTGAGCCATGTTCCCCGTTACTAACAAAACATAAATATTTTCTCCCTTATTTTGAAGCTAAAGAGAGGACAAAGGTACAAGAGGCCGCAGTTGAACATCTATGAATATTTTCTTGGCCAGTTTTGGTTTGTCATTAACCACACTTCTATTGTGTGACCCAGTGGAGAGTGCACATCCTGACAATGTGAACATTAGGTTTTAGGCATGACAATAAAAACATGGTTTACTGCAACCAAACTTTAAAAAAGCGTGCTCACATTTAATGAGCTGGCTCCATCTCGCCCYGTGTGTCCCGAATACACACGTCTTGCACGCTCTTCATTAGTGACGCTTGTTTGTGAGTTCAAAACAGCTGCATGTGATCATCTGTCAGCCACTTAGCAGGGTCTGCCTTGGCCAATCATTACCTGCTGGCTGCAATAAAAACCAGCACACCCGACGCTACCATGGGAGAAAGGTTAAACCATAAAAACGTGTTTGAAAAATGCACTGAAAAACACCTCCAACACACCCAGGTTATAAATGAGGCCACACAGCGCTCAGAAGGCACCTGATTGGCTTGGTTTGACAGGTGAAGTCATCTCTTACTGTAGGAGGGTCTGTGTGCTTACTGATAAAAGATACAAAAGTTTATGGACACACTGAGAGCAGCAGTTCGTTGATAAACGTTTGAACAGGCATGCGGGTTGTGGACGGAGCTTTTCTTGAATCATTAACTGGTGAAGCAGCTTGATTTTGAAAAAAAAAAGACCTGGTGGAAAGAGAAGTCGACAAAGCAAAGCTTGAAGGACAAAGACTGTGCTCTACTTGGTGAAAAAAAAGAGAAGAGCGAAGGAGTGGGAGAAAAAAACTTGATATCTGACGTGGGACAGACGTATCAGAAGCTACAGAATGGGTTCTCTTGCCCTTGAGCTGACCGGTATTAGTCTGTCGGTGCTGGGTTGGATTCTGTGCATCGTCAGCTGCGCCCTGCCGATGTGGAGGGTCACGGCCTTCATCGGCGCCAACATCGTCACCGCTCAGGTGTACTGGGAGGGTCTTTGGATGAGCTGTGTGTTCCAGAGCACGGGACAGATGCAGTGCAAAGTCTACGACTCCATGCTGGCTCTTCCTCAGGACCTGCAGGCCGCCAGGGCCCTCACCGTCGTCGCCATCATCGTGGGAGTGGTGGCGCTCCTCGTTTCCTTGATGGGGGCCAAGTGCACCAACTGCATCGAGGAAGAGGGGGTTAAGGCGAGGGTGATGATCGCCTCAGGAGCGGGGTTCATTTTTGCGGCCCTGGCGCAGATCGTGCCCGTCTCCTGGTCGGCCCACACCATCATCATCGAGTTCTACAGCCCGATCGTCCCCAACGGGCAGAAAATGGAGATCGGTGCAGCGCTGTATTTAGGGTGGGCCGCCGCAGGCCTGCTTCTGGTTGGTGGGGCCATCCTCTGCTGCAGTTGCCCCCCACCAGAAGAGAAAACCCTGAAGTACAGCATACCCCCTCAGAGTCGTATGGGATACTCGGCTGCCCCGAGGTCAACGGCTCAAAGCTCCTACAACAGAAGGGACTATGTGTGAGGGGGAAAGGACCGAAGAGCGATTGGGAGGYCTCAAGTCTCCTTTTGTGTCCTTTTATTCCTGATCATCTGTACATTCTCAGGAAATTCACACTGAGGTGAACATTTGAAACACGAAACAAACCCTTTAGAATTTGGGAGTTTTTTCACAGTTCGTTGATAAATCGGTTTACACGTTAACTTAAAGTCTGATGAGAAAAAGAAAAAAATAAAGAGAATATTTTAAAAAGTAGAAAGTGGTTTATTGTCTAAGCTTTTTGAGGGTTTTTTTTTTACATAAGCTGAGTAACAGAACTACGGAGCACGCTTCAGGCTCCAAATGAACGTTAAAATGGCCGAATGGGCCATAAATGAAGATTTATGATTTTATGTTTCATTTCTATCACATTTCTGCTTTTCATGTCATTGCGTTCAGGTCTGTTTTATTTTATTGTTAATATATAAGTTTTATTAAAGTTTCTTTTGTTTATTATGTAGCAAGTTTGGCAAATTTACTGGAAGCTGAATTGAAGTTTTGTGATAAAAGTGACTATGACTGCAAACGTTTTTGTTTTTAGATCTTCTGCTGATGATTTGTGTAACTTTTATAATAAAATCACGAAGGTTTCAAATGTGCTGCCTTGTTGTTTGTGGTTTGAACCTGTTTAAACCAGTTCAGGGTAATGGAAAAAAAAAGCTGAGGTGGCACACACCTGGGACAGATGGGACAAGATTGCACAAATATAAAGTGCAGGGTAACTGTTTATTTATTTTAGTTTATTATGTAAGAACATAAAAAAGAAACAGCAAAAATAAAAAAAACAGGTAGTCAATGTGTTTTGTTTCAGTTTTGGTTTTATATATATGACGTGTCTTACCGTAACTGAAAGCTGTCTTTTATTTTCTTTTTTTGCATTTTTTAAAGTAATTTTTCCTGAAATTAATTAAAGATTTACAGTTATTTGTAGACATTAATTATAAGTTAATTATAAGTACGCTTGCTGCTTTTTGAGTAGTAATATCTTTCAGAATTAAAACACATGATAACACACAACCCCTGTTTGCCTCATGTTGTTTTGCACAGACCTCACTCTACAAATGGAAAAGTTATATCTGTTCAGTGTCTAACCACTTCCTGCTTTGAATAGTCAAATGATGCTGATGGTTAATGCCAGGGGACAACACTTATTTACGTCCCTTTACTGAACCAACGTGGCAGCATTCGAMGAATATTCTCAAATATTGAACTGAACTCCGTTTGAGATGTAAAGTGAAGGAACATCCATAGATTCAACAGCCTTTCAGTGTTAAAAAAAACACACTGAAGATCCGCAGCTGCACAGAGCAAAGCCTGCAAATGTGAAAACACTTAAACATGAATGTAAAATTAAGCAGTAACGGTAAAACTATTTTAAAAATACCTCCTAACTGAATCAGTTTTGGTGCTTGTGATGTGAGTAAAGTCTTGTTGTGCCAGCAGGTAAACTTTAGCTCGTATTGTTGCATCAACACARAAGATGTTCATGATAAAACAAAGTCTCATGTTGTTATCTGTGGAGTTCGGAAGTCATGTTTGGCAAATGTGGGGACATTTTCTACAACCCAGGCTTGTGAAGACCACCCAAACATGGACGACGTTACACAAAGATGTGCATCCTTTACTCAAACAGAAGCACCATTGAGGAGGAACTGTGACAATAGAGTTTAGTTTGATAAAATAAAAAGTTCAAACCACATATTGTCGTAAGCAGTCCACTTGGAAAATAAAAACACATTGAGACTCTTAAAAACAAGGTGCAAAAAAGTATTTCTATGGCAAAATATGTTTTTTAGGTGTTCTGTGTGAAATGAACTCACACAAACTCGATTTGTTTCCTGCTCATTAATTACATAACCACATGTGTGTAACGTTTGATCAGACGTGATGCTGAAATGACTCAGTTCTGATCTGGCCACTGATAAGATCAACTCTTATCTGCTCGACTCTCATTTCACACTTCTCTTTACATCAGTGACAGTCGTTTCTCATGAAGAAACAGTTCTGCGAAGAATAAATACCAGGAGTGCTGCGGGGTGTTGAGTTTTCTTGGAAATCAAATTAAAGATGCCCATCCCATATGCCAGAGGTCACCATCTGCTCAGAGGCTCCGATTTTTCTGAGAAGACTGCCCAGGCTGGCCTTTGATGCAAGAAATACACAAATGAACAACAATATTAGTTAATATTATTATTGTTATAATGCTTGTAAATTCTCACAGCTGTCAAACCTGATGTCAGGAGGTTATTGTTTGAAGAAAAATGCAACTTTTCCCCTTAATCGAGCATGTATTTCAGTTTAAGGAGTTTTTATTAGAAATCAGCGGAGAGTCATTATGTTCTAAAGACATTTGAAAGTCGCTTTTTTCCCCTTTCTTAATCTTTTGTCAGTAAAATGTTTTTCCCTTTGCTTTTAAATTTGAAAGAAAGTTTCGCAACTTGGCCATGGTCGCAGTGCAGGGATGTAAAAAAAGGCGGGTTGACATTCTGCATCAGAAGTGCTGATCATTATAAGAAATAAATAAAAGGTCCAACTGATAAAATCTTAGAAGCACTCAGTTTATTTCCCAATTAAATTTGTAAATGAGAAGAATTTTTAAAAATGATTAAACTGGACTTTTTCTTATTATTTCTAATGAATTTGAGTTGCTTTAAAATAAAAAAATGCATTCAAAATGTCTTGAATACTACTGTAACTACCCCCACATATTACCACACCACACACACACACGTTTGCATTTCCATATTCTACACATTCTCACTCCCGACTCGTCACATATTGACGCTTTTCCAAAGTTCCCTCTGCGTCTTATTTTGACGCAGCAGGTGACCCCCTCGCGTCAGTCCTTGACGCCCGCGGCTTTTCCGGGTTGCGCCACCAGGGGTCTTTGGGTCGGGGGTCTGAGGTTAACATGAG